CTACAAAAGAAAGAGAGAAAATATTGAAAACAGGACCATTACCACCAATTTATTCAAGCAGGGGATATGTGTTTTTCCACTTGATGGCCAGGGCAGGAACCCAATGGAAGGTCCCTGGAGTTTTGAAAAATGTATCATAGTTCAGCGAGTGCTTGTGAAACATTCATCTCAGAGGCATTGGTGTGTTGCTTAGGCAGATGGCCTAAGGGTGCGATTACATACAAACCACACCGTGAAATAATTAGCTAAACAATTTGGTTCTCCCTAGACTATAAGGTAAAATGCATAGAACATGTGGGGAGCACAAAGATAATTATCATATATACTGTGTAGAACAACCAGAGACATAAGTCAACTTGTATATGGGAGAGCAGGGATCACTGTAGCACTCAGTGAATGTACGGTCCGTAATATAACACACAGTGCACTCATTATAGTCATATCATGTGCTAGCATCATTTAAACCTCTATCTCATCCCAAAATTATTTTCAGTGTGGGATCATTAAAATTCAAATTAAAAAATATATATATACTTTTGTTCAGTCAATTGATCAAGTGATCAAATATGACACAAAAAATTATTATATTGTTACAGAGGCATTGGTGTGTTGCTTAGGCAGATGGCCTAAGGGTGCGATTACATACAAACCACACCGTGAAATAATTAGCTAAACAATTTGGTTCTCCCTAGACTATAAGGTAAAATGCATAGAACATGTGGGGAGCACAAAGATAATTATCATATATACTGTGTAGAACAACCAGAGACATAAGTCAACTTGTATATGGGAGAGCAGGGATCACTGTAGCACTCAGTGAATGTACGGTCCGTAATATAACACACAGTGCACTCATTATAGTCATATCATGTGCTAGCATCATTTAAACCTCTATCTCATCCCAAAATTATTTTCAGTGTGGGATCATTAAAATTAAAATTAAAAAATATATATATACTTTTGTTCAGTCAATTGATCAAGTGATCAAATATGACACAAAAAAATTATTATATTGTTACAAAAAAAAAATCGATTTCAAATAAATGCTGTTCTTTTGGATTTATTCATCAAATCCTGAAAACATTTTTTGTATTTATTATTATTAAGCAGCACAACCATTTTCAACACTGATAATAAAAAAAATGTTTCTTGAGCAGCAAGTCAGTATATTAGAATGATTTCTGAAGGATCATGTGACACTGAAGACTGGAGTAATGATGCTGAAAATTCAGCTTTGCATCACAGGAATAAATTTCATTTTAAAATATATTAAAATAGAAAATTGTTATTTTTAATTGTAATTCCCAATATTACTGTTTTTACTGTATTTTTATATCAAATAAATGCAGCCTTGGTGAGCATAAGAGGCTTCTTTCAAAAACATTTTACTGACCCCAAGCTTTCGAACAGTAGTGTATATTATAAATATTGTCATTCACATTATAGAGATATTTAAATTTTCATTACAATTACACAGCATTTGTTTTATAAATATAACTTGGTTCTTTGTGTATTTTTAGTTCAATGGTGTATGATTTAATTGAGTAATGACAGATAAACTTTTTAAAAAATAGTTGGAAGCAAATTTTCAATGCTTTAGGCTATACATTTTCTGAAGAAATCCAAAAATCCAAGAGAAAAGAAAAAGTTCCTCCTTCAGTGACAGTCTGTAGGACTGCAGTCCGATTTCTTGAAAAAGTAATAAAACACCTCTCCTGAACAAGCCACACGATTTGACGTATCATTCATTTCCGTAGCACAAACGGTGCAGGATGAATTATGTGCAAATGTTTAAGAGGTTTGTTCAAACAACTTACCCTAAGTATTAGCAATAATAAATGTGCTTACATGCACAAAATATGCTGATAAGCATAAATGAGCACATTATAAAATCCCAGCCATGCAAGAAAAACATGTTTACATGAGATTTTTTAAAGTTTTTCTTTGTCAGCCGTAATGTCAAAACATCAATAGATATGAACACTTGTAAAATATACAGAATTTTAAAAATGGCATTTAAATGCAAAACAAAACTGTGGTAAAAAAAAAAAAGTCGAGGGGTGTCAACTGGGTTCAATCACACTGATGCTAAATCCTTTCTGAATAAATCAAAATATCCAAGTGAAAATTTAAATTATTAAATTAATAATAATGAATTTAGCTCTCCCCTACCGTGTCACTGAAACACCATTATCAGTGTCAGAATCTGCTTGAAAACACGCTTGCATTTAAATTCAGCTATTGCCAGGGCATGCGGCGGCACTGCCTTTATTTCCTATTCCACAGGCTTCTTATCTGCCAGCTAAAACAAACACAATCTGGACAGAAGTGTTCCAAGCAGGAGAAATCACAGATGTGCCGCTGACAGAACACAACCACACACAGAAGCAAACATGCTTCCAGATCCACACACACCCTGACAATGCCACCAGGCCCTAGAGGACAACAGTGTCCCCAACTAAATTTTACTGCTAAAGAAACTAATCCCTTTTAGTTTAGTGACTTACATAGTGAATCAGTAAGACTGAAAATAATGTTTTGTTCAATAATCAGATATCGCTTGCAGGATGCACAAAAAATCTATAACTGGGTCTTGGATGTTGTTGTTGTGATCCAGATGCATTGGAGCAACCCTGTTTATATAGCTGCACATCCTAAACCATGTGAATCATTCAAATATCAGTCAAAGGCTCTGAGCACATTTCATTTCAGCATCTGATGAAAAGCCTCTCTCAGGCTGTGTGCAAGTTCTTGGCTGTTTTCTCCATAATCTCTCTAGTCTCTCCATTGTTCCCAAAAACCCACGCTTGGGCATGATTAATGACTTTGTTTAAATGATCTACAGCACAACTACATAAAGCTTAATGGAAGAACATTTAATAAAACAGATTGTCTCAGGTGTGCTCTTCAGGCATTGATCGACACCTTCCTTTTCATCTCAGAGTCAGGCTTTGAGTAAAGAACCATAAAAAGCCGGAAACCAAGTCTTTCCATTATCTTCCACTTCCATTCCAAGAATAAAGAACGCTGGCGAGCACAATTATGAATTCAACCAATGAAATGATTTCAAATACTATAATAGCAAGCAACCATATCTGTAAGAAGGTAATACATTTCAACATGAAAGCTAGAGTTGGTAAACATTTACTCTTCACCGATTCTTCACTGGCGCTCCTTCTACATCCACATAACATCTGAATAAATGTAATTACTCGGAGACAGGTGTACAACATGCCTAATTTATAATGGATCTAGTCGGTGAAATTACAGCTGGCCTCCATCTGTTGCTGATTTCAGGTTTCAATCCAGGATTTACATTTCCAGTGTATAAATACAGCATGCCTCACCTTTACCGCTACCAAGCTATGAATCATTCGTTGGTGCCTGGAAGCAGATTTGCATTTTAAACGCTGGAAATATATGTGGCCTTAAGTGAGACAGCACTTCTGAGGTTTGTTAGCATTTGTTACATGGCAGTTAGAGTATGCAGAATATTTTTTCTAAATGAAGAACAGCTGTAATTGCAAGAAGCTGCACTTACATTTTCTGAAGAAAATGTGAGTGGTGTTTGTTTTGTAGAGGGTTGCCAGGCCACGCTATGTGCTTCCTAAGGCTCCCAAGCTGGTTGTCAGCATGTTGCCAGAGTGTTTTGGATATTTACTAGGTGTTTGCTACTGTATGGCGTTCAGGATGGTCAACAAAGGAACGTTTCTTCCTCAGTTTAATTCTGTAGGGGAATTCCACCCAAATGTATTGTTGTCAGGGGAAAAAAAGAACTGCTTTCTAGGAAAAATAGTAAAACACCTCTCTTGAACAAGCCACATAATTTGAGGTATCAAAAAGGAGCATATTACAAAATTTACTTTTTGTTTTTTTCCACGCGTCTTGATGCCAAAACATCAATAGAATGTCTCGGTTACTTGTGTAACCCTTGTTCCCTGAAGGAGGGAACGGAGACGTTACGTTAGTCGTGACTGACGAATTGGGATCTCGCCCGAGAGCCCAATCACCTTCGAGTGTAAACTAAACAAGCCAATGACAGTTGGCGTGCGTGTTTCGTGTTTGCAAACGCACATCAGTTTTTCGCTGATGAGCCGAGACTACGCGCCCCAGCCGTACAGTGGTGGTACAGCAACTGTGGCGACGGAACGTAATGTCTCCGTTCCCTCCTTCAGGGAACGAGGGTTACACAAGTAACCGAGACGTTCCCTTTCAGGCAGTCATGTTCTACGTTACGTCAGTCGTTACTGACGAATTGGGATCCGTATGGAAAACGCCACTATTGCTGACCCCCTCCAGTGCCCTGCGGAAGCCGACAAGTCCCCCCACACCAGCTGAGGCGGAAGATAGGACAGCGGCTAGGCAGAGGTGTCCGCCACTGCTGTTCCATACAGTGGTACATTGGATAACACTGGGAAAGCGTACACAGTTGGGAGCACTACGGAAGCCACATCCTGCGCATAGGAGGTATCATGTGGAATACACATATGGACTGGCCCAGGGCAGTGCTACATATGGAAGTCCCTGCGGTAGACTCAACCCGCCTGGGGTGAGACGACTACACAACAGAGATGGCAGAGAACGACTGCCAGGGAAAGACATGGGTTTACCGTGAGGGGAGCAGTACCGTGGAAGAGTACACATGTGGGATCTCGGAGATTATAGAATCTCGCAAACGTGTTAGGCGTCGCCCAGCCGGCGGCTCTACAGATGTCTGCTATCGAGGCGCCCCGCGCCAATGCCCAAGAAGATGCCACTCCTCTTGTTGAGTGAGCTCTCACTCTGAGGGGGCACGGTAACCGTTGGGCCTGGTAAGTTAAGACTATAGCCTCCACTAACCAGTGGGCAAGTCTTTGTTTGGAGACAGCCTTTTACCTTCTGCTGTCCTCCGAAGCAGACAAAGAGCTGGTCTGAGGTCCTGAAGCTCCGCGTTCGGTCCACGTAAATGCGCAGAGCGCGAACGGGACAGAGCAGAGCGATGGCTGGGGCTGCCTACTCCC